AACAAGTTCTTTTTTTTCTTTTTCACTGCAGACATCCATAAGAGTTGTCTGAGAGGGCTGTATTCTGCTCGAGTGCCAAATGTCAAATATCCAGCAGCCTATAACTGGCAGACGGATAGTCAAATTCAGAGATTGTGCAAAGAACTACCTAGCTGTTCTTCGAGCTAGTAAAAGCCAAAGAGTCTGCAATTCTGTAGTCCCCTCGGGACTAAGGGAGACACCAATTCCCTGTTCTTTTTTTCAAAAAAAGAAAAAGACTGTCTTCTCCTCATATGGGGGACAGCTGTATTGACTACACTATTTTCTTCTCTCATCTTTTTCATTTTTTTCCCCCACCTCACACTAGCTACCTACATGCCTGCTATCTTACCCCGGTATCTAGCATGACGGAATATACACTCTACTTTCAAACCCTCAATGAGCTGCTAGGTAGCCTAAGCCTATGTATATCCGCTCTACACCTCGCACGGACTGCAACCAGGCATTGCTAGGGGAATTGATAGAGGGAACATACCCATGTCTATTCATTTTACTCTGTGCAGGGAGTAGTACTCAGTTCAGGGGTGTACCAACTGAGCTAGGCCAGTCGGCATATATATACAAACGATTTTTGGCTGAGGGTCACATTGGGATTCCTCACTGATTCGAAGACGGAGATAAAAAAGAAAACAACAGAATCAGACTAAGGCACCCCCCTCATCTTGGAAAAGCCCACAACGACGTAAGATACTTGGCTAGTGGGTCGAGACTTGACATCCGGTTGGCGTGAACTGAGGCGGCCACAGGATGGGGCGCAGCGCGGCCGGGAGCGCTGTGACGCCCAACCTCACGCCCAGCGCGACTTCCTGATCGGAGTGAGATGGGGGCCTGGAAGTGCGAAAAGGGGTGTGCCAAGGATTTTAGGAAAGTGGGGTTGGAGTCCCAGGTCAGAACTGAGATCTCCTGTCGCAAGTTTTGGGGGTATAAGCGCAAGAGGGTGTGCGCAGGTCGTATTTGGCGCTTTTAATTTTCGTAAGCCGGAGGGTAGACCCTTGTGCACAAAAGGGAAGCCGTGGATGTCGTGCAGCATAAGGCAGATGGCATGCGTAGTGCATTTCAGACTAAAGATCCCAGGGTACTTTTCCACAATCACAGCACTGACAGATCTAAACACTCTTGCATTCTCGAACAAAATCCCAACAACATTGCCCCTGCCGACGAACTCAATTTTCGTAAGCCTTCAAGCCCGAAGAATGTGAATCACCATCTCCTATGGTTTCGCCTTCGTGGTTGGTCGCGTGGTTCGACCA